GGGAGAGCTCCTGGCTTCTGCTGACTCCAGGAGTTCAGAGTTATAGAACRGTTTGGGTTGGAAGGAACCTTTAAASGCCTTCCAATYCCTCTKCCCTGCAGTGAACAGGGACATTTTCTACCAGATCAGATTGCTCAGAGCCCCATCCAACCTCACAGTGAATGTTTCTGAGCAACTTGTGCCAGTGCCTCACCACCCTGATTGTAAAAAKCTTCTTCCTTTTGCCTAAYCYAAACCAACCCTCCTTTAGTCYRAAGCCATTTTCCYCTATCMTGGCACTCCAGGCCCTTGTCCCAAGTTCCWCTCCAGCTCTTCTGAAGCCCCTTTAGGTACTGGAAGGGTCTCTAAGATCTCCCCAGAGCCTTCTCTTCTGTAGGCTGAACACCCCCAGCTCTCCCAGCCTGGTTCCACAGGAAAGGTGCTCCAGCCCCCTGAGCATCTTCATGGTCTCCTCTGAACCCACTCCAACACATCCCTGTCTTCTTGTGTTAAAGGCCCCAGAGCTGGACATTACTTGGGACAAGGTGACCTGGCTCAGGTTAAAGAGTGATCACTCAAAAGCTGATGATGATTCTCCAGCAGGAAGGAATCCTCTTGGTCAGTGTTTAGTTTAATAACACATGCCAAGTCCATTTGATTTCTATGACTGAAACAGAGTGGACTTCCAGAACACAATTTCTTGCACCCCCAAGAACAGTTTGGTGTTTTCAGGGGTCTTGTGCAGATACAAATTAACTGTGTCTCAACAAAGAAAAAATAAAACAGGAGTGATTAAAAAAAAATTTAAAAACTATAAATTCCACCTACACTTTAATACAATCGCCTGTATTTTGTCCAAGGCCCATTACATTGATCTGAGCTTAGTACAGATTTCTCACAAAGACAAGAATCCTGGTGAGCAGCGCTAAAAAAATGACATCCACAATGAACTTCCTAGAATAAAAACAGGTATCTGAAGGTTTTAAATATCTAATGCAATTCATACGACAATAGACCTCGAATCATAGAAACACAGGACAGTTTGTGTTGGAAGGGACCTTAAAGATAATCTAGCTCCAACTCCCCTGTGAAAGAAYTAGAAAGTAGGATTTCACTTAGTTTTTCCCATTTTGCTGGCTTCAAGCCTGCTTTAAGGTAGTCTGTTCTTGTAGGGAAGTTATTTTCCCTCCACTGTTTATTSAAACTTGCAATGTACTATGAAAGCATTATGGTAGCTACTGCAACTGAATTATTGCCAGATAACATGTGAGTATTGGAAATATATTCCCAAACTAGCAGGCAGAGTGACAGATGAATGGTGTTTCTCCTGATCCTATGGGAACAGAGGTGAAACAGAGCACTRACAGCTTGATGCTCTATGCATTCCTTTGTGTGCCAGTCCAGACTTCTGATAGAAAGACTTTTTCTTAGTGGGAGAGGGGGGGATTAAAGCTATAAAATAAATGATAAAAAATGATATTTACAGAGTGAGAGAAAAGTCAGCTTTGCAATGACGTTCACTGAAGTTTTAAAATAGCTACACTTGATTTGATGACATGACATGAAGAATTTGATAGTGGTCCTCACAGAAAAAATAGCAGAACTGGAGTTACCATTCACAAAATCACAGCAAAACCTGCAATTGGTTGAACTATGGACAGGAACCAGAGAGGTTCAGAGGAGSAACACAAGCACCCAAAACTGCACCTCTACCCAAACTGTAAAATAAGGAAAAACTCAAAGATTTTAAACAAACAGAGGCCAATTCAGACATGCCCCACAGGAATGCCASTTCTCCTCTCTAAATGATYTTTAAGAGACAGAGGAAAGTCAAAYTGCCATCCWCTTGCAAAGTGTCATTTATTGTGGATTCTGTCCTACAAGAGGCAAAGGAAGGGAAATTGAATTCTCGAGCACCACCAGCTCTGCCTATTCCACAGCCCAACCTGTGCAATAAAGAAGTGTGGGTAGATTGCCAGCAYGTGTATTATTCTCAAGAGACTGGCACACATTATGGAGACAGATTCTATGATCCATCTCTCCTTCACATGTACATCCAGTTACATCCAGGAATGAGAATAATTTATTCCATCTAGAAATGTTCTTACTCTGAGGAGCAGTGTTTCACTGTGCTTTACTGCTGTCTCAGGAGGGCAGGATAGTAACAGTTATGAAGTGAGACAAAGGTGCTATTCCAGCTTTTATTTTGTTTTGATTTTGTAAATACAGTTGTCTGGTTTGCTGCTACATAATGTTATTATTGCAGGTTTTATAAAAAGTCATCTTATCACAATGTATTGATAATATAATCATGTGTTGTGACAAAGGAAAGTGAAATTTGTTCTTAATTTCTGCCCCATATTTTAAGTGTATAGCACATTCCTTTGCACACTGCTGGTATTACTGTTCCAAAGACAGTGCCTTTGCCTCAAACTAAAACCATGGGAGACATCAATAAGTTCTACAGACAATCCTAGAACAGTGTCCTTTGTTTTGAATATGACATGGCTGGTGGATGTGTTTCAGTCAAAGAAGTTCAGAATTGTTTGTTCTCCGTTGGTAATGTCCCACAGTGGCTCAGAGCTTTCCTGACTCCTCCAYGGTGCAGACACAGAATGGATCTCACAGCACTGCAGGCAATCACATGAAGGCTTAGCTCTAATTTTATGAAATGCTTTAAAGGGAATGAGTATAAACAATATTTGCATTTTGTATCATAACTGAAACCATACTCCTAAACAATCATATCCTGTTTAGCCCATAATGACATCAGAAATGTATGTTTATCATCTGCTCTGGACAGCTTAGCAGRATTTTGGCCCAAGGCAAAGTGAAACTGAAATCATTCATGGTTGTCCAAACCAAGATAACCACACATTTCTGAGGTAATTGATACCTAAAAGGAACACTGCCTTTAGATTGCAGTTCATGATTTAGAGTACACTAATTTCTAAAAAAACCCTGTTAAAGTGTCTATTGGATTTCYTTCAGAATTTAGTGTGGATTAAACAATCTATTGAAGAAAGAAAATGTGATACAGKAGATTAGGCCATTCACTAACAACTCTTCCTTTAGGAATGGATCACATTTCCTACTATCTCTGATTCCTTTCCACCCACCTCAAAACGASAACAAAATCCCAAACAAAACAAAGCTAAAAATATGCTAGACATTTTGAGTAGCATGCTTGAAACAGTCTTTCATGTCTTGTCATTAGTTTTAGAGACTARTAAGAAAGAAAATAGTTAATACTGGCTTGACAGCTGTGTATTTTTCATTAATGTAGTCTTAAATAAGATCTTGATTTTCTTTTTCTTTTTGTTTTTTCACATGGAAAGAGATCAAGATTTCCCAAAATGCAATAAAGTTGAGCAACAGAGAGAAGAATTTCTTTTTATATATAACACACACACACATACACTACTGAATTACAGTCTAGGGATACAAACCAAAACACATAAAAGAAAAATATTTGATTACACACACATATTCCTTGACAGATAAACATAGAATCAGGTTTGCCATTGTCTACAACAGAGAACTTCACATCTGTATTAACCTGTGCAGTTCTTTAGACCAGAAAAAYATTATACTGGAAGGACAGAAGAGAATGCAAAGCTGGGCACGCAACCCATCAATTCAGAAGAATTCTGTTACCTATTTCTGTGTGTAAAAGCTCAAAGGATTTGTCTGCCTTTGTGCAAAACATAACATTTTGCATCAACAAATAAATAAATAAGAGATTAAAGAAAAGAAACCACCACTTTCCAAAATACAAATGTTGGTTCGGTACAACTGTTCAATGACACAAATTCTTCACTGGGGGAAATGGGACTTGTTCCTAACCAAATTCTTAGAAGGAAGTGGTTGTTCATGAGGCTTTGATTTCTTCTCATTGCAGGGCAGAAAGGAGCAGAAAGAAGATTTGGAATGCTCCAGTTCTGAAAAGAGGCTCCATTAAGAAGAAAGAAAGTAGAATTACAACTAGCACAGGATAAAAATTCCACTATTTTTTAGAATTTTCCATGAAATCCTCAAAGTGAAATGAAGTCCTAATAGCCAAATATTAAATAAAAAAATATTCACAAACACATGAGCCAACTCAGCATTGAACTCAAACCAAAGGCCCCRGCTTCCAGCACTGAAAGGGTATAAAGAGCACTCTACAAACAGCAAATTTTCAACAGCTAGGAAGGCTAATGTTGATGTCTAAAAATGGATGGAAATTGGCTCAAATACTTGTCTGGAATTGTGARTGTGCTCCCAGCACCATTTTACCCTTGACATCCAATTGCTTACAGAAAACACGAGGAAGAATTGAGCAATTGAGCTCAAAGATGGGTGAAGGGCTGTTCTCTGCAGTCACTAAGCACCAGATTACCAAAAAAAACAGGGTAGTCCCACCTATCCACAGAAAAATTAGCCAAAAGCACAGTCTTCCATGTTAACAGCATGCTGCTTTTTGATCCCACACAGCTTTTTGGGAGTCATGTAGCACTGTGCTTTGTAATGTAGACAGAGTTTTTTTGTAACTACATAGATCAGAAAATAAGACTCAAAAGGATGAAGAGCTGACACTCAAGCATGTTTGTACAGAGTATTTTAAGAGAGTATTTTAATTTCATCTGTAAGATGTGTTATATGAARGAGTTCTCAAATGCTATTGAAGCAATTTTCTAATGAAATAAATAATGAAAAAGGTAAATACTGTTTCGAAAAATGAGTGTGAAATGTTTATAGATAGAAGTTGCTTTCTACAGGAAGGAAATACAAATACATGGCAGACAGAAAGATCAATTACTACCCTTCTGTAATCCTCCTTCTCAGCATGTGTGCTTAGATATCAGGAAACATTTGAAGGAATAGAAAAATATGGAAATARGATTTCTTTAGACCATCTGGGCAAAAGAAAAAACATGTAACAATGATTTAATACACAGCACAAAAACAGCATCAGATCAGCATGATGTATGAAATGGTTCAGCTTCCTCTGCTGGGTATGAGYAAAAGGAAAAAATTACCTCCATCCKCTCCTGCTTGACRTCATCAATCTCATCATCTTCAAACATGGCCAAGAGCTCTCCAGTCTGGTCAATGGAGTTGAGGAAGTCTTGGGCCAGCTTCTGCCGCTTGTTGGTGTTATTGCTGTTGAATTTGTCTTCACAAAGACAAGCAATGAATAACAAACTTAATCTATTTGGCTTCTCCAAACATCAGCTGATGCCCCTCATGGCGACCTGTTTTACATTCAGCACTGAGCAGAAAAGGCCTGTTTTTATTGTCCTACTCCTATTGTGAATTGTGCTACTTGAACCAGGTGATGTCACTTCTCTGCTGCAGTAACAGCAAAACATCATCCTCAGTATTTTTTAGTAGAAGCAAGTAGCTTTTCATAATCTAGAGAAAACTAATCTGCCCTAATGTATTATTACTTCTCACCAAAGAATTCACAGTGGACACAGCTGTAGAAGAAACAACCCCACTTTGGTAGAAAGAACTTCAGGAACTGAGCAGAATATGTTGAGGAAATGTTCGTTGCTGAACACATGCAGAACATCCTCATTACCTACAGCCTCAAACAAACTCTAACACAAGCTTTAAGATGCAGTTGCAGAGGTGATGGACCAYTGCTCTGCAGTAAAGCCTGGAGAATGCTGGCAAGATGATCTCTGTTGTTCTAAATAGCAGAGCATCTCTGAAGGCATTAAATTCACAAAAGAAAATTAATGGCTTTGATTCCCAAAGCCCACTGGAAAGGYATTCTTTAATTTCACGATAAATGCTTTAGGAAGCACTTCATGAGAATCTAAAAGACTCAGGAAAATTGTTTATTGGCTTTAAGTAGGGACACAAGCTGAATTAAGTAAGCCCCAAAGCCATCAGGTAAGAAGCTGCACTGCCAAAGTGTGTGCACGACACAATACACTTTTATGTGTGGTGAAAATAAAAAGCCACAGGAAATTTAAATCTCAAATGAGCTGACAAAAACTTMTCCACAGCTTGACGAAGTCAAAGCAAGAAGTACAATGTTTACCCAGCATCAATGTGGATGCTCAGAGGAACCAAACACAAGGAATTCATTGTATGGGAAAAATAATAAAAGGAAATAAGTTAAACACAAAAAGTTGTGTATGGAACATTGCTAGATGTTATAACAGTATGGCAAGGTTTAGATTTGTTATGATAAGTTTTAATGTTTTACAATGGAAATATTAATATATTTTTATATCAAAGAGCTTTTCCTTTAAATGCATTGGTTATAAAATCTGTGACTTCCTCATGGAATGCAGAAACAAAAGYGTTTCCCATTATTTAAACTACAGATTCAAAGTACAAAATGTTAAACCACACTGAAAAAACCCCATCCAAGTAATATATTACTGTTTAGTGACTTCAGTATGTATGGGTTTTTAAAAAAAACATGTCAAAACCTTTTGATAATAATTTAACAAATATCCATTCAATTGCAGGTGGTGCATTTAAAATACAGATGCTGAAATCAATTAGCCCTTAMATCAGCATCAGTTTCTTACTTCAACTGAGCTCTGACATTAAACATTCTCACCGATCATCTGGATAGGAGATGCAAATGCTTACATATTTCAAATGGAAAAGCAGAGATTTTCTACAAAATTCCTGTAAAGAAACTATTTTTCTGTCTCTAACTGTCAAACAAGACATAAATACTTTGCATTGAGCTATTCAGCACTTTTACAAGACATCAAGCCTCTCCCAAAGTAAGTAATTTCATTTTTTTCTACCTTCAAGAAGGTCGTCTTCTTCTATTCCTTTGACAATTTTAGATTTGTAGTCTCGAAAAAACATGTATTTAAGTAGTCTTCTAAGCTTCTTCTAAGAAAAAAAAATGTATTAATGACTATTGCATAGTTATTTTTTATTTAATAAACTTTATAAAAGACAAACATACAAACGTGTAACACATTACTCAGTAAATATAACTTTTGAAACATTTGTCATTTTCAATTCTGCAGAAAGTCCATATATAGAAAGTACATCCAGGACAGTAGCAAATCCATATTAAATATTATTTATTTGAGTTACCGGGTTCTTTGTTGTGAGACAGAAATGGGTTTGATTTTCAGAAAGGAGAAATTCATCCATCGGGCTTCTTTAGGGAAGTCCAAAATGTTTGCTTAATTTGGAAACTCAAGCCTAAAAATGCACATTTCCATGAACTTTGACTCCACGTTAAATGCTGTTTTCAGTACAGCCTTACTGCTTGTATCAGATAAAGAAACTGCAATTTATTTTCACATTTTAGTGTGGTTTAATTTTGAAATGGTTTTGGTCATTGTCAAATGAAGAAAGGAAAACAAAGAGGAGAGAAAGAGGGAAACTAGGGAAGAAAAGATAAAGGAAGAATAAACAACGTAATTAAAAACAGTGGACAGTTTTTTAATAATTTTGAAATTTGGGGATGGAAAATTAATTATTTTTCCCTTGTTGACCTGCTCTACTGGCTTTCCAGAGAAAGCAAGGCCATTCCTAAATTTGGAGATTGTAACTGSATAAAGCCAAGGAAAAATGCTATAAAATAAAATAAGATAAAAAGGATTTTCTGAGAGTCTAAAATACAAATCTGTAATGGTCACACTGTCAAATATCACACTGACTCCCTTCCTAACGAGGAGAAATTAGCATGATTGATTTTTAATTAAAAGGACATTAAAGATAGGGATCAATATTTATACCTTATTAAGAAATTGTTTTGAGCTCTAACRTACATTACCCACCCTAGGGCTTTGTGGAAAAAAAAAATCTATTGATAACTGAAGCCACAGGAAAAAAAATAAATTATTATTTCAGATATTATGGAATGATTATAACGTGCTGGATGAAACGCAGCTGCAGAGCAGCTACAATTTTAAATAAAGCTATTCATGAAGATGGGTTCCTTCACATAGGTTAACAAAGTACTTGAAGACACAACAAGCAGCTGACTAAATAAAATAAGAAATATCTGTCTAGTTACTGTACCTTGTCTTTGCGCATTAAGAACAGGAGATCTTCAGCGGAGATGACTCGAGCTCCTCTCATCTGAGAAACTTCAGCTGCTTGCTGCAACTAAAATAAATGAACAAATTAGGATGGCTTTTTCAATGTTAAAAACTTTATTCACTGGAGTTTGTTTTAGATAAATTCAGATAATATTTTGCATGATTGTCCGTAGCAAAATACAAGCTGTGCACTAAAACACAAGCTGGGACTCTCAAAGGTGTCACTCACTCAACTTTTGTTTGCCAAAGAGTGAATAACAATTTTATGAAAAGCCTGAAAGACCTTTGACAAATCTCAAGCAAAAGCTTTTTTGTTTATATTTAAAATGATTGCTTTTAAAAAGTCCTACAGCCTTTTTTTTTTTCCTTCTCTTAGCACAGAAAATGAACATATAATTCTCTCAGGCAATGTAAAAATGCCAAATTCTTGCCATAGCACTTTATCTGCAACTGTGGAAGGGTGGCTGATCCCTCTCCCAATTTTTTAGAATAACAAATATTAATTTTAAACAGCTTACCTAAGTATTTTTTGAAAGAAACTCTACCCCTACTTGCCTTAGCATTAGTACAAACCAGACTCACATGAAGAACTTCTTTAGGCATGCTCTTATTTCATTAGGGAGAGAGAAAATTCATTGATAGCAAACACCGATTCTATTAATGAAGAATTTGAAAAACCTYATTGAGCAGACCAGGCCATTCAGCTGTGACAGTGACAAAGATGGGATTGAGTAAGGAATGACACAAAAATTGATAAGAAGTGGACAAAGGAGAGTGAAGCAATGGAATGTCCTAGCATCCATTGCAACAGTGCCTCCAAAACCCCCAAATGCCTCAAATTGTGTTGTAAAAAGCAAAAACCTCTTTGTAAGGGCCTAAGTTCAGTAGGTGCAGGAAATCAGGGCAGTTTATACACAAATGGATCATATCAARACCAGAACAGGGTTAGAAACCTCATAACCTCGGTTAGAAACCTGCACAAGCTGATGCTTATGAGACTTGGGCTAAGGAGCTTCAACCCAAATGCATGAAAGAACTYAATGGGATTTGCTCCTTTCACTTCATTAGTGCTTGGTTTTGGCAAAAGATGATCAGGGAATCATAGAAAGTTTTGGTTAGAAGGAATTTTCACAAAGGTCATCTAGAAAGAGCAGGGACATCTTCAACCAGACCAGGTTGCTCAGAGTTCTGCCCAGTCTGACCCTGAATGTTTCCAGGAATAGGGAACCCAGCGCCTCTGGTGATAACCAGTTTCAGTGTAAAACATAATGGTGTATTGACTTAGAAAGAGAGGATGCTTCACAGCACAGAATGCACTTTATCCTCTAAATTAAAAACATCATCCGAAAAGCAAGATTTAATTGAAAGTTGTTTTGATCTTAGTTTTGTTAACTCTCTGATGGAAAACTGACAGCAAGCACAGTACAAAAATCATCAAAAGAGACACCTTCAACACTTCTTGATATTAAAATTCATACACACCTGCAACAYTATCAAGAAACAGTAATTTATGTTGAAATATCTCTACATTCTTCTTCAGAAATGCATTAATGCACCTGAAAATGATTTAAAGAAATCCTATCCTYCATACTCACACTAGCAATGGTTTCACTCAGCATCACTGGCTGAATAAGTATATTATTAATCTGAGCTCCCATGCTGCTATGACTTGAAATAGGCCTATTCAGAAGTTAAAAAGATCAACAAAAACAGTAGCTGTTTCTAATATCTAAAGAAGGRGRGGGGGGAGAAAAAAGTTTTCACTTTGGCAAGTGTTCAGTGGGCAAAAGATTCAGTCCATAAATCATAATACTGGACTGCATTAATTTTTTTCCACACTAATCACACGCACACAAAACGTTAACTGTATCTCATACACACAACACAAAACATACTGCATGAAGAGGTTCAGATTTTCCCCTTGGAACCCTCTCTTGGCCCTTGCAGTCACCGAGACYAGAGAGATTTCAGGAATTCAGAAGTCACAGTAACATAATCTTACTTGAAAAATGTAAGAATGTGAAAAATGATAGCTCTATTTTTTTGCATAAGCAAAACTGTTTCTTATTCTGATTAGTTTGARGGCACGCAAGCTACTTATGTTTCTGACATAAAATATAAAGAGTTGGATAAAAAAAAAAATACTAAGAACGAGCCAATATTCCTCTCTGGTGTAAATCTATTGCAGTGAATGGATTTATGCCAAGGCTGACTTTGGCCCCACTGAGCTTAAAAGTGTTAGAAAACCTGACCTTAGCGTGGTGATAACACAACACAGCTTTCCCAAATATCATGTAAAACAATGGCAGAAATATCCAAAGGGAAAGCATGCTCTAGTTCCCTAACATGCATAAGGATGATCTCCTGGCCCCTTCCAATCCAAACCATTCCGTGACTCTCCAACACATAAAGTTCAGAATTGTTAATTTCTGTTTGCAGCTGAAATACCTTACTTTTCCAAATGATAAACACGTGACAATGACATTTATAACAAAGATTGTGTGGGAGCTGCTTGTGAAGAAGGAARGGAGAGTAAGGAGCAAAGGCCAAATTCACGTCCCATTTGCATCTAAGTAAATCCTGAATAACACTGTTTACTTTAATGGAGTTATTCTGGGCTCAACACAAGATCAGAATCTGGAATAATATTCTCCGTTTCTACCAAAACAATGAAAACTTTATTCTCAGATTGCCTCGACTTTTGCATCTATTTTATTTTAAGGAACGGACACAYAGCATATAATTTCTTTGGCTTTAAAGAAAGCAAAGTATGAAAATAATTACTTCCTGCATGGTTATAAAATATGGATTATTTATCCAAACAGACCATAATGAGTTCTGCATTGGTACACATATTTACCTGGGAAACCAGARTATGCTCAGGTAAATATGTATCCAAGCAATTAAATAAAAATTACGTCCCACACAGCCGAGGCTGGGGGGAAGATGTATTTATAGTTTAACACACACACATAATTGACTCATTGAAACCACAACGTGAGTGCTTTGCTATAATTAGGAKTATAACAAACTGTCTTATTTGACCGTCCCAGAGTTGCCATTAATATGCAATAARCCCCGATTCCTCCATTTCCGGAGCTGAAGGCCTTGTTGAGTCATGATGTGATGAGGGGGGATTTCAGGAAGCTGTGCCAAAGGAACAATCCATCTCTGAGCGCCTGAGCATTCGTCATTCCAGATTTCTCTGCTCCACAGCCCTGAAGTCAGGMGGTGCCTCACCCTGGCTGCAGTGGGAGCACAGGGGGGTTTTCACTCGGGGAGCAGCACTGCCCGTGACTCCAGATGATAGCTGGGAKGTAAACCCTGCAGGAACCTTTCATAAATGAAGTTACCTCATGGCAACCGTGCATTTATGGCAAGAATTTCCCACCATCTCCCTTCTCCAAGCCTCGGTGCCAGTCACTAAATTTGCAGCTCCAACATACTCACTTGTCTTCTCCTAATTTTTTTAGTTTTTGAATTATTAAGTCCACATCAGAAAATATTTTGTTTGGGATGATACTGAAGAACAGCAAACAATCCAAATTACTCAGCTTTTTTAAGAAAAACAGGCTACGTTTCCTTATACCAGCAAACAATATTTGAGACCTCAGAGTCTGAATATATTTTTTATTACAGAGGAATTATGAACCCCTAAAAGTGAAGTTTAAATAACAGAAGTGTTGAAATGATTTTAACTATAGGAGCGCAAATAGCTGTGTTAATAATTAGGAGTTTATGAAAAATAAGTGTATTTTACTATTTTTCCCATTACAAAGAAGGTAGTATATACAGTAACTATATTTTAAAACCTAAGAAGAAATGGCTGGGGAATAGTRTTTTAAAATGTAATCATGGGTTTAATGACTTTATGAAGTTAACTTTCTTGGCAGGATGAACTGAAGTATGTTAACAGTCACCTTACGGCTATTTTCTTTTTGCAACTTCTGCAAATTATAGATTTGTTGAAAGGAGTATTCATTCTCCTGTGACAGAAGCACAGTWACTTCAATGGGACAGTCTGCTTTTTTTTTTYCCCTCCATAATTATTTTTTCTTCCACTACCTCCAAAGTCAACAATCACCGATACTTCTTCTACAAAACCGTCTTGATGGACAAACAGACAAAAAGCTGGAAAACAAACACACTGTGTTGTGACATAATCCTTCCAGTTAGACTGCAGGACAGAGTTGGAATGGTGATGCYTGCATGCCTTGGAGCTGCTGGGAGCCAAGAATAATGCTGCAGGAGCTACCGTTTTGTTTTCATTATACATGAAAATTAGATCGTAGTTCACCTGGGCAAATTTTTTTTCAGAGGCACGAAGGCCGTTTTGTTATTAAATGTGTATTAAAATGTTCTATTTTATCACCTTTTCTAGGCAAAAAACACACAATTACTGAATAATATTCTGAATTGAGTCCTGTAAACACATTCCAAACAGTGCATCCTGATACTTTTGTGAAGGCAACTAAATAGAAGAGATAAATACACATTTTTACTTCAAACTTTCCATGTAATATCTCACAGACTACTAATGCTGACACCTGAGCTTCTCATTCTAACACACACACAGAGGGAAAGCACCAAATTTGTTTCCACAAGCCAGYACAGGGCTGTGCTTTATGCACTGAGCACATCCAGAGGAGATAATKACATTATGGAGCCCATAAGAGCATTCTGGCAGGTAATGATTCAGGATCACTGCACAAGAGTTCACCGGCATGACTGAATCATCACAAGCTGTCTAAACCAGAAAACATCCACCTGCAGATTAAAAGACAATCAATTTTCTTCTTATTAGGTATTTGGTTTCAAATGTAAGTATTTTTTTACTGAAGACCGTTTAATATAACACCAAATGATTATGTGTGACCTTAAGAGGAAGCTCTGTGTCACATTTTGAGGCTTTAGACAATCACGGAATTTCGGAATCGTTTAGGTTGGAAAATACCTTTCAGATCATCAMGTCCAACCATTCCTCCAGCCCTGCAAGGCCACCACTAAACCRTGTMCCCAAGTGYCACATCCACACATCTATCAAATCMCTYCAGGGCCAATGACTCC